ACAGTTTCACGCCACTGCGCCCGCTCTCTCTGAGCTATACTACGCTTCCCCTTCTCACTTCTGCTGCTCTCTGTGTACCTATGGGAAAAGTCGCTTCACCCGCTCGGAGCAGAAATGGAGGTTATTTTAGAAACGTACAGTACAGGTCAATAAAATAATTGTCAATTAAAATAATAAAATATTTCAAATGTAATGTATATTTAAACTGATGACCTTTGTCACCTCATAATAAAATAATACAACTGTCCCAATGAACCATGTGACAATTGTATATATATATATCTATACACACACACACACATCCATAGTTTTCAAAATGATCTCAGAATACGATTTATATTTAATTATATATATATATATATATATATATATATATATATATATATATATATATATATACACACACACACACACACAAAATGTACAAAAAATATAATACAATTGTTTTTATTATATTTTAATTTTATTTTATAACATTTGATAATACATTGATTTATTAATTACCTTTTTGTTTACAAATGTTTTTATACATTTACAATTATGTCAGAATTTATCATAGTATAATAAGTTTAATTATTTCATAATATTTTTAATTAAATTAATATAATTATTTCAAAGTTATAACAAAGTTTTTTTTTATGTTTTTTTCTACCATACCTTTATGGCAACATTAATAACCATTTTATAATTCCTTTAAAATATTGAATTCCGATTTAAATGGTGTAGGTATTTTTGCATTATGATATAGCACTAATAGGCTAAGCCCGGGTGTCATTTATATGGACCGACATCCTTGTTTCAAATCTCTAAATATTGATTCTAAAGAGATACTCTGCACCACTGCCGCAAAGGGACAATCCTAGTGGGGACTGGCTCAGTAATGTCTGACAATTATTCAAAGACTGATGAGAGGCATCGGGTGCATAATAGCAATGAATTCTGCACCATGTAACTGAAAAAGTACTCTGAGGTATTCATTACCAAAAGGCTCCGAGTGCTATACTGTACATGATCTCATAAGAGACTCAAAAGCCAATATTATCTCCCACTGTGTACATTCAATCAAGAGAGTCTCGGACACTTAGCAGTAGCGCTCAGTAAGCGCATTTCTGCGTGTGAGTGTGTGTGTGTGTGTAGTTGGCAAAAAGATGGTTAAATACCAACTGTCTCTGCTTCTCACTGCCACAGAATGCTTATGACAGGTTGCCTGGTCATTGTGCACAACGGTCTTAGAGGGACGTCATGGTCCGAATGCTCGCAGGGTTCTCCTGGGTCAGGCATTTAACAGGCTTACGCCAGCCGTATAAGGACTGCCACAGTACCAGGAAAACAGATGCACCTGTCAATAGGGGGAAGGAAACTCGAGGGGGCCGGGAGGGATGGAGGCAGGGGGTCGAGGACTTAAAGGAAATGCTGAGTTTATTTACCTGCCTGTCTGAATCAGCTGCTGGAACAGTTAACCGTTTCGTACACACAGACACAAAGACAAAAAGGAACTTCATGCTGAGATGCATCTAAGCTGCACCTGCACTACATCTAATGTTTCCGGTTGACTTTTAAGGCCTCGATATACTCACGCCTAAATTCCTTTTTGTTCTTTAATTAGGGGTGAAAATAATTACCTGAGCAGCGGTATAACCATAGGGAACATACCGAATCCACCCACGCTGCTAGAAAGCGGCGTATTTCCTCGCAATAACAAAATAAACACACAACAAAAAAATGCCTGGTTAGAAAACAGCAGTTAAGAAAGCATCTGGTCATAGCAACACGGATATGTAGGCTATGTCAAGTCATGCTTGTTTATATAGCATTTTGTACAATATATAAGTGTTTACCAGCCAGAGTGAACTTTTCCAGAAAGTTTGCTTTGGCAGGCTGTTTTAAACTCCCGATATGAGCTCCAAATGAACTTTGTTTTGGCCTGATTTTGTTTAAAATGACATCACACCAGTTAATTCTTTGATTTAGCTAGAAGTATATCAGTGCCTTAAGTTTTCCAGCAAAAAACTAAACAACCCCCCAGCAAATTAGGGCAAGAGGAATCTTCAAGATCATGTGAGAGAGCATGAATCTCATGGCTTGTTGTTCGAGCAGTCATGCTCTTGTGCTCGGATGCTTTGTAATGTTGAAAAAGTAGCCCTGGTCTACAGCTGACATAGACAGAGCGGCCCACTAGAGAATGGAGGCAACCCTTGTATTTGTAACTGTCAGGGAAAAACAGTTGGACACATGACCTTGTGTGCGTCCTTGGTGACTTGACAGTGTGTGTACACACAAGCAGCAGGGCAGAGACTCTCGCAGCTGCCGCCATTTTACATCATCACATGACTGTTTACACCCGCTTTATCAAACGCCTGAACCCACAAGTCAGCACCGGTTTTCTGTGAATGATAATTGTTATATGCTAATATATATCTTTTTTTTTTTTATCATGAGAAGCCATAGAAAAAACCCTTGATAATATCCTTCTGATGTCCTCATAAAGGGCAGAGTCACTTCAACATCCATCACTGGCTCATAACGGTTTGGCCTAGATTTCCAAATATCAAGAGAGAGAAGGGGGTGGTGTGCTACTGTAACATGCCAGTTATGCTCAAAGCAGAGGAGAAGTGACTGAGGGTGAACCGCTTATCTGATCACAGGGGTAAAGATGGTGCTACTCCGTTAGGACCAAGAAAGAGGGCAACGTACTTCCTGAAAAAAAAGATAACCCTCTCTTACAAATCAACCATATCAATCTTAAAAACAGAAACCGGATTCAGAAACCCCTGCAAAGCGAAACATCTATTGACACAGGAGCTGGTGCAGTCCCCCCAGAGGACTAGCCCGCAGGGCTGGAGCCGACACCGCTTGGCATTGGGAGCTCTGTGAGGGTACCCAGCATGTCACCTAATGAGATGCACAAAATGAGATGATTAACCATCTGCATCTTTTATCTCCAAGTGTGTGGGTACATGTGTGTGACAGGCCAGCCTTCACACACAGCGCTCTGCTCCCTTAAGTGTGTCAAACACATTTCAATGTTGCAGAATTTTAAGGAGTGAAACTGCCTGCTAAGGCAAGAATAACTATTGCTCATCTCATACTTTGGGATTTGAACAAACCCTTAATTCTAACTATAAAGATTTTGTGTGTGTTATGCACTGTCTGTGCCATGGACATGAATGTTCTCTCAAATTGTGGCAAATTGTATTAATTATCTAAGTGAGCTGACATCTTTCGCCTGGCAGGAAATAAAATGTACTAGCTATTCTTTAGCACTAACATTTTCTGAACTGTATACATAAGTTATATTACAAATAATACTGTTCAAAAGTCTGGGATCAGTAAGATTTTTTTTATTTTAAGAAATTAATAACCTTATTTAGGAAGGATGCATTCAATTGATCAAAGGTGACAGTAAAGATTTTTATATTGCTACAAAAAAATCGTTCTATTCATCGAAGAATTCTGAAAAAAAAAATGTATCGCAATTTCTACAAAAATGTTAATTAGAACAACCATTTTTAACATGATTAATAATATTAAATGTTTCTTGAGCACCAAATCTGCATATTATAATGATTTCTGAAGGATCCTGTAAAATAATGGTTGTTGAAAATTTAGCTTTGCCATTACAAAAAAGCATTGCTTTTTAAAATTTTATAAAATACAAATCAGTTATTTTAAACAGTAATATTATTTCACAATATTGCTACTTTATTGTATTTTTTGTTGAAATAAATGCAGCATTGGTGAGCATATGAGACTTCTATCAAAAACATTAAAAAAAGTATCACGACGACCCCAAACGAAGTGTGTATCTGACTCCCTTTGATAGATGATTAATTGAGAGCGTTTTTTGTTTTCGAACAGATTATAAACTTGCACTTCTCTGCATCAAGCATTATATAGAAAGTGAGAGACTAACATAACTTCTCATTTTGGGTACAACTGCATTGTCCCAGTGAATCCAGACTTTGTCAACTTTTAATTTCACATGAAAGGTAATGCAAAGGCAAGCATTCACAGAAACTATAATCAAAGTATAAAAATGTAAACATAAAAAAACCTGAAATCACAGAATCTCCCCTAAGTCAACTACAACCTTCAATCAAACCTTGCCATCATGATTTCAAAACAGCATTTGCACTGTCGAGCACAACCTCCAGAGAGCGTGCGCTGGCCTGTGGAGGCAGGGCGACTGTTGTTTGGGTATTGTTGAGGTCAGTAATGGCTGTTGTTGGAACATCAAACATTATTTTGCAGCGATGCAATGCAGCGGTGTTTTTGCACTCTACTATGATCATGCCTCCCTCCTACATAGCAACAGAGATAAAAGGATGACTAATGTGTCCAGTGCAGAAAAACATGCATCTAACACTTGTGTTACAGCTTGAAGACGTATAAGGCGCACAAGGGCCAAATGCAAAACAGCTATTTATGGATTTTCAGGTTGCAAGGTTCCTTATAAAGGTTCAGTGTAAATCTAAAAAGCTTTCCGCTGCATTTTCATCTATTGTCACAGGAAAAAAATGTTTATGAAACACATCACAAGTGTATTCACTATCTGTACGTCTGTCAGTCTTTCATTTTTCACACTTGGGTTGGTGTGGCCCAGTCACAGAGCCCACTGCTGTCAGACCAGCTTAAAGATCAGATGGTATTAAAGCCTGCAGTCGTCATGGAGACCACTTCCAGGAGACTACTAATTGATCTCACTTCCGTTCCACTCATGCTAGTGCTGAGAAGGTGTGAAATACAAAGCATGACAAGAAATATATAGATGTCTGTGCATAGAAGCTGGGAAACAACATTACTTCTCTATTATTACAGATCTCTCAATGTGAGACAGAAAAAAAGAAAACATCTGTATTGAATTTTGAAAGCAAAGCAATAAGACAGAAAACACATCTCTTGATATACACCCCATTACAATAGCAGAATCCCATGACGGAGCTGTGCCTGCCCCACTTTTGCTGGTAGAAATTAAAGAATGTTGAGGGAATAGCACTAACCTGCGTTGCCTGTGCTGGGGGGCCTCTGTGGGGGCCCGCCAGACACTACGTTTCTGTGCAGAGAACCCTGAGGAGGAGACAGCATGGCACCGTCACTCAGAGAGGCAGTGGCGACCGACAGGCTCTGGCTGCTCAGAGAGGCCCCGGGGTTGTAGGACATGGCATTGGGGTTCGTCACTGGCACAGCCACATGCATGGAGAAGTTCTGCGGGGGCAATGCCGTCGGCTGGAAGAGAGACACACACACATGGCTTTACGTGAGAGGCATTAGAGACTGATATTTTATGCAGTATCAAAATTGACATTCACAAAGATAACTGCAGAGTCATATCTCAACGAGAAACGATATACCGGTAATCATTTAGCCTGGATATTCAGGTAGAATGGCCCATAATGGTGCACTGCACATATCTTCAGGCCTCTACAAGAAGTGAAAGATGTCCCATGAGCTTAGGTGCTTTTATCATACAATGGAGGAAAACAGGAGATAGATTGCTGGGTGGAAAAAATGTAATCTCAGGAGGGAATATCTACGGATCACCTTGGGCTGTCCAAAAAGCCCGGCATAAAGTGAGAAATACTCCTGGAAAACAATTCTACTATTGGGAGTCATTTTCACTGTGCTCGGAAGACCAATTTTTTTTACCCAGGCTCAATACTCAAAACAACATCTTGAGATAAGATATATTACGAAGGCATGCAAATTAGGGAAATTTCTTGAAATAGCTCTCCAGTCAAGTATGGCTATAGCCAGCACTGCACTTGGCCGTTTTCACAAAACAAAACAAATAAAACACACACAAAAACAAACAAGAAGGAAATCATACGACAACAACAGTGGCACCTTAATCAAAGGAACAGGCAGTGCATTGCTGACTATCCATAGAGTTATCCAGAGTGAGTGTGAGCAGGCACAGTGTGAGGCCACTCAATTCACTTAATAGTGCAGCGAGCCAGTTAGTGAGTATATTAGTATGTTAATAACTCAAGCTTTGTTAATGTCCATTCGGTGCAGTGAAAATAATCGTCTGACACCATCTATCAGGTGCAGAATGTTATAGTCATCACCTAATAAGATCACTAATATTACTAGCTTGAACTTGAAAAAGGTTCAGTTATTGGATTGTGCTTGGATTCTGAGTTCTGGAAGGACTAAAGAAATTGTCCTGGGAGAGGAACAAACAAACCCAGGTTTTGCCACCCACCAGAAAAGTGAGACAAAAAGAAATCAGTTCTAATGAGTGGAGCAGAAACGGTGAGATAGTCGCTCCATCTTTATTCAATGGCAAATCTTCTCCATCACACGACCTGAACCGAGCACAGCACTGAGAGAAAAGATTCAATTTCCAGATCTGTTGGGGAGAGTGCTGAGATGAACACATCAATTACCTGGACATCGAGGCATTCTCTCCACAAAAAAAACCCCACAAATACATCACACTTGTACGTTTTTACAGTATTTCAGGTCACTAATCAAATAAGCACATTTGTGGGGGGGTTTATTCAACTTTTCACTTGTATAGTATTTAAAAAGTGAATCTTATTATTTTAGAAATGTATCAAAAAAAAAAGTTTTATACTCCGAGTTTAATAACTCCAAACAATGTGATCTTATTAGGGTCAGAGAAAAGGGCTGCAAAATTAAAGAGAAAAAAAGTGCACTTCCAATGGACAAAAAAAAAAGAGAATGCTTTAAAAAAACAAAAAAAAAGGTCCTTAGGTGCTGACAGTGGTTGCAGGGTGAGGCAATGGAAAAAAGGGGGAGAGGGGGGAGTATCCTTTCTGCCACAAAGCCAAGCAAAAACATTGCATTTACTTACGATTTTATGATTTCGCATCATATTATCAAACTCTTCATTAATTTTTTTATATTTTTCTTCTGTGTGAGGGGTGAGGACATATGAGGCGTCAGGATCCGGGCTATCACAGCCTCTGTGTTCTTTCTTGTTAAGCGCCTGTAGTAAACATCAACATAAAAAGAGGGATCAACACAAAAAGGCAGGGAGGAAGCAGTACTTACACCACAGCGCTTGTACATTAAATCACTCTCTTCGTTTAGTTTGCCGAAACGATCGTCCATGAGGGGACTGTGACCGAAACAGTCATCTGGATCAGGACTGGGACAGTCATTATGGCCTTTGTTTCTTAATTTCTGAAAATGAAATTGGAAAATTCACACATACATAGACATATGACAACCCAAACAGCTGTTATCGTTGGGTTCATTTAAACAATGTAAAAGCAATTGACTGGTTAGTAATTATGATAATTAACTACTTAAATAATCTAAGGAAGAATATTTTGATGAAATGCATTCACAGAATTTAATGAAGAAATACAGTTATTGAACTTTGCTACAATTGCATGCTGCTTAGAGAACACAGAGGAGCTGCGATCAGGATGTTGAAATCGCACTGGTAACAGTTCAATGGATAATTTGGCAAATACATTAAGAGGTAATACGCTGATGGTTGCACCATGCCTATTGCATTAGCCCCTGGGGAGGAAATTGAATTGTCACTCCTTATCCTTTCCCTTAAAAACATTAGGCTGGGAAAAAAAAACCAAATCGTCTTTTCTCTCTCTGCGTTTCTCTCCCTCTCCCCTCTTTGCTCTCTTCCTTAGGAACATACATTTCCCTCAGCATGTGTGTGTGTCGCGATGCATATTTCATTATCTTTCAGTTATCATAAGCCACCCAGCTGGAAGACACACACACATAAGAGGATCCCACAGTGCAGCGCTTTAGAAGCTCTCTCACTGTAATTCAGCACACCTGTCACTCACAGAAGCCTATCAGAGTGAATGCAATGTACAAATTGAATGGATTATCATATCCGGTCACTAGCATTTAAGTGTGGAGAGGACTGATTCATTTACGAAGAAACTGCAAGGGTAATATTAGACATTTTTACCCTGAAGGAGCGGAAGTATTTCTTTTGTCAGAGGGGAATCTATGGGTAACATGTTACTTAAGGCTGGTATAATGATTTGTATTATCTATTTATAGCTGGTCCTTAAAATAGTGTAGTGCATTAAAATGCATCATCACAATACATCATTTAACATACCATCATGCATTATTGCATTCAAAGGAAAAAGTGTTAATAGGTAAAAAAAAAAATGTATTGTAGTGTAGCCTGTTATAAGTATGTACAAAAGAAATAATGATAATTTATAAAATACAACACACAATTTCATGCACCATTCTGAATTATAATTAGAATTAATATTACATAACTTATCTGTGTAAATAAAACATATATAATTTTATATGTAAATTAATAATTTCATGAAATAATTTATGGAAAGAGAAGATAATGCATTTGCAATTAGTGTATATGGCATTACGAATACCTTCATAATGCAATATATGCACTGAATACTGAAGTAAACTGTTAACCTTTTATTTTTATTTTATAACTCTCCATTACCAATCAGAGCGGTTGCATCAACAAGATGACAGCGAAAGTTGCCAAAAAGGGAAATCTTCATTTTATGCCCTGATGTGTTTCTTACTATAGATCTCCTGTAATAAGACTACCTCGGGTTGGTTTGGCAGCAGAGGTCACATGTTCTTTCAGATGAAAAAGTCATGTTTTGAAGGAAGTGAAGCCCCTACACTAACAAGCCCCTTAGTCGTTGTATCTATCACGATGTGTGTGAGAGTGTAGGTACATGTACGTGTGTGGGTGTGTGTGAGAGTGTCTGTAGAGTGCAGCTGCTGTCCTCTGGTATTTCTGTGACTGTAGAGTGAGATCTTTGTTGATCCTTATCTACTTTATCTAACAACATGTGCAACCGAGCTCAGCACTGTGTGAAGTCAAACATCACAACGTATTCGTCCAGATGCACAGGAACAATCTATACATGTGTGCAATGCGTACTGCTCTGCGATGTCTAAGCAAAAAACACAAAAATGCAAGTGGTATACTACTTACATCTACAGATATATGGCTTTTCTGGGACCATCTGTAACCATAAAGCCTTTTAGTGTGGTGCCGAAGGTGGCTCTCGCTCTCTCTTCCCAGGTCATTTCCTGTTTACAGGGCCCTATGTGAATCTCTGAAACACTGTGTTTACCAGTGAAACTATGCACTTTCTCCCCCAGAGTGCCACAGATTCCATCAGGACCTGCAAATTATTGTCCCAACCTGCTCATTATGTGGCAAGCGCTGTGGCTGGAGCTGGGCAGCGAGGTCTGTGTGAGCAGGGCAGGGCCGCTGACTTCCACAGTAACCCTAGGGACACACCCGTCCGCTGGGGCCTGAGTCTGCAGGGAGGGGCCCCTGAGGAAATCGCGGCCGCCAGGCCAGCCTCCTCATGGGCACACAGTGCTGATGAGCAAAACAACATTTCCAAACAAAGGAATGTGATGGAACTACTGTACATTATAGAGTAGACCTTAATTAGAGTAGATGCCATATTAAATTGTACACGGATGAAAGCACCTCTGGTGTGTGTTTAAATACGTTATTAATACGTTTATACGTTATTTCCATAAACACTGCATATAATTTTTGTAAACGCAGTTGTCACTATCTTAATTTTGCGGGAGTTAATTAAGTTGTAGAATGCAGTTGTCACACCCATGACCTGAACTCTGTGTACAGAATACGATTAAGCAATAAAAGGTGAACTGACAACCGCATTTAGCTGTAGTGTGTACTTGAGACACAATCATGAACAGTTTGACAAAAGGAAGCAACACAATCGCACTAATATGCCCAAAAGAGCTAACATTCGCACATTCCCAGACTGCACCATGCCGTGCTTTAAAGTCTGAAGAACCGGGATGGCAAGCTGGTAAGTCCTTCTTAAATGGCTTGGCATGTTTTTGGGTGTCCCACAGACACTGCCCGCAGCTCTAGTAAATGGATCACTAATTCAGCACATGTCCAAACAGGTGTCCCTCTTCCCCAACACCTGTCAGACCCTTCACCTTACGATCCAGCCAATCAAGAGCCCCTGCACGTGAGCATGGCCATAGAAGGGCACATCATGTCAGTGATGCGTTACAGCAGATAAAAGATGCTGCCAATGAGCGATCCAAGTGAATCCATTAAATACAAGCACAGATGGGGGCATGAGGTTGATCACGATGGATAATTTGCATTCTTAACTAGAATGTACATTTCCAGAAGAAAATGTGAAGTGGTGCTTGCAGTGGCAAAACTCGCCGCTCGGTTGCTAGGGTGCGGTTAGCTAGTTTTTACCAAGATGCTAGCATGATTAGCATGTTGCTAGTATCATGCTAGCATGATTAGCATGTTGTTAGCATTATGCTAGCATTATTAGCATGTTGCTAGCATGATTAGCATGTTGCTAGCATGATGCTAGCATGATGCTAGCATGATGCTAGCATGATGCTAGCATGATTAGCATGATGCTAGCATGATTAGCATTTTGCTAACATGTTGCTAGCATGATGCTAGCATGATTAGCATGTTGCTAGCATCATGCTAGCATGATTAGCATGTTGTTAGCATCATGCTAGCATGATTAGCATGTTGTTAGCATCATGCTACCAACATGCTAGCATGATTAGCATGTTGCTAGCATGATGCTAGCATGATTAGCATGTTGCTAGCATGATGCTAGCAAAAATAAGCATGTTACAAACATGTTTTAGCTAGATGCTAGCATGATTAGCATATTGCTAGCATCATGCTAGCATGTTTAGCATGTTGCTAGCATGTTGCTAGCATGGTTGCTAAGGTGTTACTAGGTGGTTGCTAGGGTATTATGGGTGGTTGCTAGGGCGTTGCTAGGCGGTTGCTAGGGTGTTCTGGGTGGTTGCTATGGTGTTGCTATGCGGTTGCTAGGGTATTCTGGGTGGTTGCTAGGCGGTTGCTAGGGTGTTCTGGGTGGTTGCTAGGGTGTTGCTAGGGGGTTGCTAGGGTGTTCTGGTTGGTTGCTAGGGTGTTGCTAGGCGGTTGCTAGGGTGTTCTGGGTGGTTGCTAGGGTGTTGCTAGGCGGTTGCTAGGCGGTTCTGGGTGGTTGCTATGTTGTTGCTATGCGGTTGCTAGGGTATTCTGGGTGGTTGCTAAGGTGTTTTGGGTGGTTTCTAGGCGGTTGCTAGGGTGTTCTGGGTGGTTGCTAGGGTGTTCTGAGTGGTTGCTAGGGTGTTGCTAGGTGGTTGCTAGGGTAATCTGGGTGGTTGCTAGGGTGTTGCTAGGTGGTTGCTAGGGTATTCTGGGTGGTTGCCAGGGTGTTGCTAGGCGGTTGCTAGGGTGTTCTGGGTGGTTGCTAGGGTGTTGCTAGGCGGTTGCTATGGTATTCTGGGTGGTTGCTATGGTGTTGCTAGGCGGTTGCTAGGGTGTTTTGGGTGGTTGCTAGGGTGTTTTAGGTGGTTGCTATGGTATTCTGGATGGTTGCTATGGTGTTACTAGGTGGTTGGTAGTGTTCACATTTGGTTACTATAGAGTTTTTATAATGTTCATGGCATGATTTAGCACTTAGCTAATCAATATTAGCATGTAGCTATTCACAGCTAGCATGTTTAGCATGTTGAAAGTCCTGTGTGCCAGCATGAGTCAAAATACCCAACCCCCATCTCTATACGATGTTCTGATGCAGAGATGTAAGTCTTGCAAAATGGTTGCTAGGGTACTCTGTTTGGTTGCTAGGGAGTGGCTTGGCAGCTACCAATGATGAAACTCCAAAGGCTGCTTGTCAGTATGAATGATATAAATCAACCCCCATCTCTCTACGATGTTCTGATAGAGAGATGTAGGTCTTGCAAAATGGTTGCTAGGGTACTCTGTTTGGTTGCTAGGGAGTGGCTTGGCAGCTGCCAATCATGAAACTCCAAAGGCTGCTTGTCAGTATGAATGATATAAACCAACTCCCATGCCTCTGTGACATTCAGAATGGACGATATTCCTCTTTGGATTTTGGTTGCTAAGGTGCTCGACAATGGTTGCTAGGGCGGGACTCGGAAGTGTTGAGGTGATTCATGATTGGCTGTTTGCTGCCCCGTGTCAAACGAGACCAACCTCATGTTTCTATGACAATTCAGTCCAGAGATATCCCTTCGATCTCTTTCAATGGAAGTCTATGGAACTTGTTGCTAAGGAGCTCTAAATGGTTGCTAGGGCGTGGCTTAATAGCTTCACAATGATCCTGAGAGACTGATTGGTCGTCTGAGTA